GAGGACGAATCCGCGATGGATCTCGAAACATCAGGCGAATAAAAGTATTGTCCCAACGATCGAGTCGTCTTCTCCTCATTAGAATGGAAGTCACTAGCACTAAACGCATGCGATGCGCGACGACGAACATAACCAAACCCCATTAGTCTTATTTCTTCAGTGACCAGATCTATACTCCCGATGTTACAGAAAGCGAGGGCATGCTTTACCAAATGGATGATTATCGGAAGTCGATGACCAAGCGAATGTCATTAGTCTTTAATGCGCACAGCCTAGCATTCAAGATTATTCAAAGTGATTCAGTGGACGGATGCCCGGCAGATCCATATCCTTATGACGATCAAGATACCATAACTTCTCCATAACGCCTTCAAAGGATATGAAAAACTACGAGCTGCGTCGATGGAGACCACGATTTTCTTACTCTGTCCACTTTACGGCAACATTATCTACTCAAAAGTCTACCTCCACGTGTTGGCGGTCATTAATTGTCTTGTCAGAGGTTAAATTTGGAAAGTTCGGTTTTCCAGCGTCGAGGAAATAAACTTACCGTTCTAACGATTTCATAGTGTCGGTAAGTTCGGCATTACCAGAACTCCATGGCCTCTTCCAAGAATCCAGCTGAGATAATGCTAATTGCTCGAATTTCAGACCCAATACTAGAGGGTAAGAAGGGACTTACGAACTAGTGGCGTGACAGTTGTAAACAAACAGTCGCACCGTCCAGCTTAATTACTTAGCGACTCGCAATGAATGCCGCGGCGAAGTAGATAAAGCAGACGATCACGGGTTACCAGTGGTCATGCACATAAGTGCATGTATCTAGTTGGTTACCTGGCATCAAATTGGGCACTAAGTGTTTAGGATTTTTTGAGTGTCGCCGACGTTTAAACCCCTCTCCATGGCGGTAGCCGCCTCAACTCTGTACTTTTTTCTATGATCGGTGGGCGACTGCGTTAATTTTGATAAACCCATATAACTACCCCTATTAGCGGGTGTAATGAGGACGGCAATTGAAACTGAATGTGTACAAAAAAAACGCAACGCTAAGTGAGGAAGGTTCCGACTAATGTAAAAAATAGGTACACTAAAGAAGGATGGAGAAAGTAACACAGCAATGGAGGGGTTAAGGCAGAGGAGCTCAATTAGTGAAGATTCGACACCACGTAACAGCGATAACAGAAGACATTTCGCTCAAGGTCGAGTTTGTTTGGCAGGAATGCGATGGAGCGATGCCAGTCGTCTGCCTCAAATACTTTTAGCCAATATCGGCCGTCGCTTCGCATCTCTCTATCACATTCATGCCAGACGGACTTGCGATTTTTTCCCGGGACAGTTTGTACATACAACCAGAGGGGGTTCCATTTTCGTGCGTTGTACCGCAATTTCTCCATTGCTTTTTCCTGTGGCTATTTACGATTTTCAAATGCTACCTTTGCTTTATTGCTCAAAAGGTAAAGGGATAAGTAGTCTAGAAAGACTAACTACCCAAAACGTGCTCATTATATCACTGACGTCCTCACAATACACCACTTAGGACGTAACGTCAGTTCAAGCTCCATCCATCCAGTTGTACATTCTACCGTGGAATGTGTGATGTGCAGTTTGCAAAAGGAACCTTCGATTGGACCGTTTCTAGTTAAATTAGTAACGTTCAACCTTCTGCCTCGGAAGCTGCGTTACCCAAACCTTGCGTACTTTATGGAACTAGATAGGACGCCTATGTATTATATCAGCTTATAGCTACTTGGTTTCCAACCCACTTGCC